TCTAGAGAGAGCAAAGCTTCAGCAAACTTCCAGCGAGCTGCCTGTCGGCGCTTAGCAAACCCCACATCAAGGGATGAGTCGATTTCCTACCCGACTGTGACCAAGCGGAGTTGATTGCTCAGAAAAACGCAGGGCAGATTTTCGCTTGAGTTGGGAGTGGCGGCAGACGAGCCCCAGGAAAAGGAGGTGTGCACGCTGCAGCCTGCATTGCACAGATGCCCAGCGTGTGTTTATCTGCCCTGCTTCCCCAGTAACTTGAGGCCACTTGCTGGTTGAGTCAGGCTGCTTTGCATGCCCTGGGGTTTCAGAAAAAGAAGCTGCAACATCTGCATGGTAGTACTGCCCGCTATCCCACTTGGTCAGCTAACCTACTAAGTGGTGAAAAGCTCAGTTGCTCCAACTGCTATCAGTGATTCCCAACCTTGTTCCTGTGGAGGAACCCCTACCTCTGAAAACATTTGTTTGGCCAGGAAAAGTTGACAGTGGGGAGTGCAATTCAATTACTGCTAAATTATTGTCAGGAAAATTTATGGCTGCATCTAGACTGGCATGATTTTGCGGAAATACTTTTAATGGAAAAGTTTTTCTGTTAAAAGTATTTCCGCAAAAGAGCTTCGAGATTGGCACAGATGCTTTTGTGCAAATAATGCTTTTGCGCAAAAGCATCCGTGCCCAGTATAGGCACGCTTTTGCGCAGGAAAGCTCCAATGGCCATTTTAGCCATCGGGCTTTCTTGCACAAAAAATTAAGGTGCCTGTCTACATTGGCCCTCTTGCGCAAATATTCTTGTGCAAGAGGGCTTATCCCTGAGCGGGAGCGTTAAAATACTTGCGCAAGAAGCACTGAATTCTTACATGAGAACGTCAGTGCTCTTGTGCAAATTCAAGCAGCCAGTGTAAACAGTTGGCAAAATCTTGCCAGTCTAGACACACACTATTTGTAAAGAGCTGTTATATATATATGTCAACTTACATTGTAAGAAAAAAAATTGTATTTATTTATGCCACGATTTCTTGCAGAACCTCTGACGATGGTCTGCGGAACCCTGGCTGGGAAACACTGTGCTACCTGGAGAACCATAAGCCAATGTCTCTTGCTGAAATCTTCCCTACAGTAACACACATGCAAAATGAGGCTAGTGACTGACTTGTGATCATCATCAAAGAAAACTTAGTTGGGACATTATAAACTTCAAAAGTAAAATTTCAAGTCAGAAGGGTGAAGGAGAGAGGAAGGGACCCCAGTAACACTAGCTCCTGGGCAACTGCTGCCCAAGGAGATGGCACCAGGTGCACCTAATAGGCTGGAGGCCCCATGTGCTTGGATGTTGCTTGGGACTGGCTCTGGGGCAGCACCCAGGTAATGAGTCATCATTAATCAAGATGCCCTCAGCACCTGAGCCACCAAATATTCAAAAAAGCAGCACCCAAAGAGAGAGGCAGTCAAATTCCAGGACTCAGATATCCCTACAACCACCCTGTTCCCACCTGTAAATCCAAGGCTTTTCATTAAACCTAACAAACTTGTTATGGCTTTTGGACTCATAACAATTACCCTGTATGTGGCCTACATTGGCTATTTACATGCAACATAAGAGAATAAAAGGGACCTCCTTGAAGCTGTTAACAGTGAAGGAGCCAGGTACATGAGGAGAAAGACTTCAAAGTGGGTTTAAAGAAGCTGCTTAATAACAGAGAAAAGAGAAAGGAGTGATTGGCAAAGTAGGCATCTGAATTTTTAATGTTAAATTAGGTGGCTGCTAACTGTTCTATGCAATTTTTGGAATGATGTATATAAAATTAAATCCCATTTTTATTCCATTTTACAATGTCATACCTGTACCTATAAACTTTTCAGAAGACATACACAGTAACAAAAAGGTTAAGAACTAAAAAATTCAAGTCTTAGGTGCGTGAGTTTGTCTCAGGAAAAACAACAGCATCCGATGAAGTGGGGGTTTGCCCACAAAAGCTTAAGTCCAAATAAATCTGTTAGTTCAAGTGCCACAAGACTCCTTGTTTTTTAAGTAAATTCATTGACATATAAACTACTCTGGCAGATTGGACAGTCAGCCAGACACTTCTGAATTCAGAGTTTGGTCCTTGTTGTGTGGCCTTGTCAATTAATTTTTCACTGTTTCCCACTGAGTGAAGAAGGAATAACAACATTACCTACCACACATAAGGGTCCTGTGAGGATTGGTGAATTTTTGTAATATTTTGAAAATGCAAAACACTATATAAAAAGTGTTAATTATTACCATCATTTACTGGAAATCTGTTAGTTATGATCTAGCTCAGGAGTTCCCAAACTTTTTGATACGGGGACCAGTAAATCCATTCACGAGCTTTTGGAGGACCGGTAACATTCATTTGTATATTTGCATATTCATTAAGCAAATTACAAATATGCAAATATGGTGATTTTGGTCCTCCCAAAGCCCCCAGAGCCAGCTTTAGCAAAGCTTTTGATACGGCCACCCACAATATTCTTACCAGCAAGTTAAGGGAATATGGATTGGAAAAATGGACTGCAATCCAATAAAACCCTGCACCACCACATCATGTATTGAAAAGGGGCTCATTTATTTTCAGAAAGCTGACACCATCTTTGGAATTTTTTAATCCATATTCTCATTCCGGATGGTGAATGCA